TGGCAACATTGATAATTTTTTATCTTTAGGACAGATTTTTCTTGTGTGTATGTGCACTCATGCATTAACTGCATTTTTTTACTTCTTTATTCCCTGGGAAGAGTGGTCATAATGCTGATCTGCAAATGTCATTGTTTTTATCATGATAGTTGCGGCCTCTCTAACGGTGAAGTTTGGATTCAGGTTCTGCATACTTAACACACTGATATCTCCAAATGCCTGTGTGAAATTTTAAAATGTACAGGTTTCTTCATCAGCTGGAAGGAACTATTTCCTCTGCACCCTCCTCCATCCTCACCTCTTCTCTGTTTGGAGAGGGCTTTATGGGCTAGATGTGTCTGGACCAGAAAGCTTTGCAGATTTCTCTGTATCATGGGAATACATTTTAAATTAATATTAGATAAATTAAAACTGCATCTCTTCTGCAAATGTGTTCTGTCTTTGAATACACTCAAAGCTGTCTGTGTCACTGCATCAATTTATGAAGTAAAGCTGAAATACAAATGTCTGAGCATAGACTTCAGAGACATCATCTCACTCTGATCTCTGAAGGCACAGAGGTAATTTGAAACATTGTGGTAGAAGGAGTTATGTGAGTGGCACATACTATCACAGCATGCATGCATTTAATGGACTTGGTAAAAGAGTTTGATTCTTGTTTTAAAGTGGTTATTTTGGTCTTACTGGATTCTATCTATCTGGGAGGAAAAGAGCTTTGCAGTAAAAGTTAAAATTGATATTTAAGTGTTCTGCAGCTTTCTACGTTTAGTATATTTCAGCAATCTTCAGCAATTCATTTACTTCCTAGCTGATAATGTTTCTTACCATATACAGACACATTTAAAGGCTTTCCTCTGCCAGTGCCAGATTGGGCTGGCCTTATTATTCTGATAAACTGAACTACGGCCTACAATGCAATTTCACTTACCAGCGTAGTCATTTGGTGCTTTCCTTTGAGATTATCACCACTACTGTGCTATTCTTCCCACTGCAACTTAAATATTAGCAATCATAGCAGGTTTATTTCAATGACACATAGCACCATCATTGTGACGAAAAATAGTAGCAAAAAGACTTTATTTAAAAACATCTCCACTATCTACCAAAATACTCTGAGCTTAAAGTAAAAGTTGATCAAGACCATTAGCAATTTAATTTTATAACAATGGGAGTCTCAGCTACATGTAAAAAGATTTAAAGATGCAACACCAAAAACTTATTCACGTGGTAAGCAATTCTGTGTTCAGTGTACCGTGCAGCTAAGTGTGCTTTTTCTTTAGCAGAGTTCTAGCATTATTTTAGGTTAGAAAGAACCCTGGGCAACTCAGTTCTGCTGGGAGATGTCCCCTAATAACAGCAAGAATATTTAATAGGAGGATATCCTTCTTGAAGTTGTTGCTCTTGTCTGTCCTGAGATCACGGTGAAATATGTCCAAGATTGCAGGGCAGGGCAAAGAGTGGCTGATGGAGGCTGAGCCTGCGTTGTTTAAAGCATTGTGGCTGGTGTCCCTGGTTTGCATGGAAGTGAATATGTAAGGTCTCTAGAGGCCAGACCATTATATACGTATTTATGTGCTGTTTTATTAAAATACATTAATACACCTTACAAACTGCAAATGTTCAGAAATTAACCACAGATAGGATATACTCTAGGAAAGTATTGCTATTGTATTCTGCAGCAAGTACATTTTCTTGATGCAGACATAAGTCAAAAAGGTGGACTGTAATTGTTATTATTACTAGTTTGTTAACACTAGCATCTCACAGCACTTTTTAAGTCAGTAAGAAAATCAGAGATAACAAATCAAATTACCTCTCTAATAGCACTCAGGAACAAGGAGGATGAGAATAGCATTAAAAATGCTTTTTCTTTGCTGTTTTTGCTACATGGTTTTCTTTGTCAAAAGAAGTTAATGCTCAATCCTGTGGTATTTCATTCTTAACTTGCACTAAGATTTATGACTTTAGTATGTAATAGATACATACTTCAAAGGAAAGACATGAAGGGAAGAAACTTCTGGAATGAATTCATATTGGCAGTGAGTGAAGCAAGTAAATCATCACTGTGGCGCGTCCTGGAAGTTATTCCCTGTTGAGCTTCCTTGCCCTTTGGGTGATAAAAGGAGCTTTTACATCCTCTAGTGCATACTTCTCATGAGCCCCAAGTTAAAACAGAGTGTGTTGCATACTTCTCAGTGTTCTGTTGAAGTATTTATTTCAAAAAATTTTATTAGGAACTTTTGGATTAATTGACGCCTAGAGGTTGAATAATTAATTCATAGCTAATGGCTGTGGAACTCTAATTTCACCAATAATCCACTTTTTATCATTTGGATGCTATGCAGAAATTTTCTGAGTAGCAGTTTCTTTTTTTTTGTCCTGTTCAATATTTTTGCCATGCAACAGATGGATGCTGAAGTGCCTACAACATATTGAAAGGGAATATATCTTTCCCTTAATGCTGAATTAATACTGGAAAATAAGGTCAAGAGCAATAAATGCACCGAGACCTGAATTTCCTGAGAGTACTGAGTTTCAAAAAAGCAAATATGTATTGCCTAAATATTGCCCATTTTTCCACTCTAAAACACTTGCATAAGTGAGTACACTATAAATTCTTGTATAGGGCTGTTTGTTGCATATAGAAATCTTAAAGGCTTTTTAACAAAGCAAATCAAAAGCATATCTAATGTTAGAACAGTGATTGATAAAAAAAAAGTTGCCGTCGCTGATAGGATTTGTTACAGTTATATTTTTATTTAGTAAGAAAAATTTCATGACTAAGTTACACACGAAAAACATATTATCAAGGCTTAACTGTTAATCCTTTGATAAGAGATGAATGAGGATTTTTTCATTTGATATTGTCCTTGACTCTTGTGCTTTGTGATGTTCTTTTAAGGCTTTGCACTGCAGCCATTTGATTAGTCTGTAACCGGATAAGATCAAATTTGTCCATGTCTTTGGCTTTTTTTTCCCCCAAATACCACACAGAGCTTGTTTCACTGGATGTACACAAAATCATCATAGTTGCAGAGGCTGTATGGGAAGGGAACCTGATAATACTTTCTTGAATGTCTCTTTAATAGTAATAGCAAGTTGAGGTTTTTTCCCCATTTCAATATGTCAACTCCCCAGACCTCATTGTTACAAACTGCTCGTCACATTTTGGTCCACTGAAACCAGAAGATTGACTATCCTTTGTACCAGCAAACGGAGGTGGATTAAAAAATGTGTTTTGTAATCCTTTGTTTTTGTAAGGCCCAATATCTAATAAGGAACCAAACTATTTGTTTGACTTTTCAGTATGCAACATAACTATTCAAAGAAATTTAGGTCAATCTAGCTAATTATTCCTGTCATATGCAGTTGACTAGTACATGAAATAAAATTGTTGTCTTTTTAGGGGTCATTTATGGTCTTACCATTGCGATGACATAAAGTTGTGATTTAATAGTATTTAAAATGGAGTAAAAGCTTAGTAGGGCCACCAAAAAACTGAGTGGAAAACTAAGCATTTTTGTTTTGATTGTTGCTTTGGTGCTGCTTTCTCCTTAACTATTAGCTGTGTAAATACACATTTGTAATTTTTGGTGTTCCACTTAATATATGCTCTTCTCTACTGGCAAGTGGTGAGAAAGAGGCTGAAACAGGAAAGACAAAGAAGGCCACTTCTTCTCTAAAATATATATCTATTTTAGTTTACAAGTAAAAGATCCACAAAAATGTGGTCTGAAATAAAGTGAAGGTTGTGTAGTGTCAAAACAATACTGAAGAAGCCCAAGAAATATCATGGGGTTGACTAGGAGATGATAAACAGTGAAGTAAAAAGAAGCAATTTTAAAACTTTGTAACAGAAATGGTTATTGACACTTACATTGCCACAGGTCATCATCCTGTTAGATTCAAAATAGGATTTGATGTCCACAAGCATGCTAGATGTTGTTTTAATTGTCAAACTAAACTTTGGATCAGATGCTGGATATCATACGTTAGTACTTGTTTTCTACCTGAAGGGGTTTAACAGGCTTTCAGGGAAATTATGCGACAACAATATACAGTGAAGTATTAAATATCAATTCCTATGTACAATTTGCAATGTGAGGCTAGACTCACAAAAAAATTCAGGGGCAGAATAAAGTATGACTATCACTATGGTCCTTGAAAATTTGTTAATGGCTCTTTTTACTTTTTGTGATTATTATTTGCATGGAAAGTATTTATGAAGTCTGGCTTTCTAAGGGCTCTAGGCACTGCTCATTATCATAAAACTGTATTGTCTTTCAAAATCATATATTGTAGTTATACAGATACAGAAATGAAATAATACTTGAAACAGCTCACTTCCAAATGGGCGTTGTAAATCTGTGTTAGAGATAAATAAATCTCTATAAATATCTGATAAAACTTACTCTAGACCCCAAGTCTTCATGTCACATTTCGGGCTTTAGTGTATATTCGCTGTTGATTATAGACACCCTAAAAATAGGGTTGTATAAATGGAAATGCTGACAGATTCTGAGCTATCATATTGGTAGCAGGCTCTGCTATAATTAGACATACATCTGAGTAGGCAGTGTAATATGATTGCTGTGTTTATACCCTGCACTGGAAGGAATGTCTGTTAATCTGCGCAATACTTTTAAATGAAATGGGGAGCAAGAGTTTGTGGAAAAAAGATGCTGAGGTTTATTTCATAATCAGGCTGACATGAGGGTATATCAAAAGACAAGAAATACTTTCAAAATATGAGATAATTCTGCTGTTGTTATCTCAGGATTTTTAAAAAATCCTCAGAATTTACCTGAAAACATCAGGCACTGTACAATTCAGCAGAAGAAATGATATGAAAAGTTTTCTATCTTTTTATTACAAACAAAACATATTTGAAATAGTTTGAATGTCAGTAAAAAATTTCCTTTCCTCTGTCTTTAGGCTTTGAAATTCTCCAGTCAATAAGTCTTTTTCTCCTATTTCTTTATTTTCTTTTGTAATTTCAGAGGTCAGAGTCCAGCTGTTGCTGAATTTAACTTGCTTCTTAAAGCAAATTCTTTGGAAACTTATGGTGTTGATCCTCATCCTTGCAAGGTAACAGTTCTTTTTACTAACTTTTAATAAAACATTTTTTTTACTAACATTTAGTTAAAAGTTAGTAATGGAATTGATTTAGCTCTGGTTTTTATCTAGGTGTAAATAGTGACCAGTTTCTAAAAAAACTGCCCTGGAACTACATATTATGCTTAAGCCTTGGAAGAACACTGACTGACTAACATTTCTACATCAGTCAAAAAAAGGGTCTCTCCAGAGGAAGCAGAAGAACATCACAGGAGAATTTAGTAGATTGTAATGGCATAAGCTCTGATAATAGTCCATAATTTCTTTGCATTTAGTGCAAAGGTTTCTTTTAATTAGTCCAGGTATGAAATATTTTTTGTTTGCCAAGATTTTCAGGATTCACCATTATTTTGATGAGAAAATGCAAAAGACTGATAGTCCAAGGCAGATCAGTTTTTCAAACAACATCGAAATATGCAAATCTTAGGAAGAAAGCAAGCCAAATGTACAGGGAGGAAAACCCATTTCCAATTACCAATTCCCACTTTGATATTTTGTGATCTTCTGTAAGAAGGCGATCTTAATTACCAGTTTTGATTATCATGTACGCGCACATTTTAATTACGTGGTTGTATCTGTCTCATCTGTGGTGTTTATTTTTAGAGTGACTTCCTTTTTGTTTTTACTGCTGCTTTTGCTTTGGCTCATGTATTGTCTCTTCTGCTGGGACAGCAGTACTGTTTAGTTAGCTGTTCTGGTGGTGATCATCCTTAAGCAGTCAGCTCTAACACAAAGCTGCAGAAGATTTTGTATACACTTTGTTAGGAATGGTGCTCCTGTGTGAAACAGGGTCTGGCTCAGAGCTTAGTGAAGTCAGTGATGCAGTAAACTTTACTTTGAAACTATACTGCAGGTTTTCAAAAGGTATCCCAAAAACTGAGGCATAACTGGCTCAGAATTACTTCTTTACCTGTGAGGCAGGGTTTATAGTGTGGGAGCCAATCAGAAATTCATCACCCATGCCTGAGGAAAATTTGTCTGTCTTCTGGAAGTGAACCTCAAAGCGAGGTCCTTGGCAGGCTCCTTATGACATGCTCCTTTTGGCGCTGTGGCTGCTGCTCCAGAACCATCCCTGTTTCTGTTCCCCTTTACTTCGTTGTTGAGACATAAGGCACAAAAAAGTTGATTACCTTTATCAAGATGAGGGTATGGAACTTGGGATGGACAGAAAATCCAGTTAATACAAAACACACCTTAATCATTAATCAAAAATGATAAGCCAGAACTTTTATGGTGGAGCTATATTTTAAGAATTTTCTTTTCTATTTGAAAGGCAACTGCTATTTCTTCTGGTTTGTACTGAAGAGTTCGTGAGTACAAAACAGAAGCTCATATTAGTAAATGCTGTCTGTCAGTAATATTTCCAGCATGACACCTTGCAGAGGAACAATGTATTGTGAAATCTTAAAAAAATATCAGTGTTGAAGCAAATATGAATCCCTGGTTTGTAGTTAGTCCTCCTTTTAAGACTGGGACATACACAGAAGCACATTTTCAATAAATTTGGTAAGTCTACCTGAGGAGTCCCTGGTGTCATCAGGTAGAGGAAAACAAAGAAGATATTTTTACTCAAATGCCTAGAAATAAATGAGATCTTTATTTCAAGGGCTGTCCTTTCCTTTAGAAGTATATCTTTTAAAGGCAAATTTGTTTTGAAGTGGAAAACAAAATAAAGGTAATCTAGAATGGAGTAACAATTTATGCTATCAGTAAAAAATCATTAAGAAGTACCTCAGTATCAGTAATAAATACCTCGTTGGATGAGGGGAAAGTTATGTTGCTATGTTTCTTTTTCTCTTTCAAGGACTCATTCGGAACAACTACATTTTTAGGATTCACAGCTGCAGGATTTGTAGTTTTCCAGGGTAATAAAAGAATTCATTTATTAAAATGGTAAGCATATGATGTAAGAATATTTTAATAAATAAGCATATCTTCTTCTGTGCTTTCTCTTCCTACCATCTTCACCTGCATTTGTTGTCTTTAAGGAGAACCATGTGAATATTACCTTTCCTGCCCCATTATGTTTGTTTTAAAGGATTTTAGATAACAGCTACAACTACAAAAATAACATGAACAATAACAACTTAGTCTCATTCAACTGCCAGTGAAAATTATTCCACAGAGTTCATTAGTAAATATAATTTACAAATGCTGAAACTGAGTACATTGACTTTTCAGCTATCTGTAAATCACCAGTGAGGTTTACTGGCAAAGAGCCCACCTTAATCTTTATTTGATTTTTGGAAATATTGCAATTTGCTCATTTAATTACCCTCAATTTGAAACCAAAAAAAAAAACTTATTTGATAAACAGAGGAGAAAGAGGTGAGAATGCATTTGAATTTATTTTTTTGAATATCTTTTTTTTAAGAAATGAGTACTTATGCAATTGTCTTTGGTTAGTCTGGTTTTGCTTTCATTTGAACTCCTGTACTTACTTAATTTGTTACCCTCACTGAGCCACATTTGAGGAAGAGGTAAAACAGAGCTCCTGCAGATGACGTTAAGAGCAGCTGGGCACACCCTCAGCAGTGGGGTGGAAAGTGACCAGTCATACTTAGACACTGATAATCTCATTTTAGCCCTGCTGCTACATGCATGCCAACAGTTGTAAATGTTCTGTCTCTGAGCTCTCAGCCTGTCTTGTGGGATCAAGACAGGCAGAAGGTGGAAAAAAGATGAAGCTGGGCTCCTTGCTACACATCTGTAGAAACTTCTCTGAGTGTTGAATAACCTGAAATCTTCAGAAGTGTAAAATCAGCATAGTCCTGTCTGTACAACTGGAGGTCTGGGGAAACACCTATCAGCAGCCATCCATTTATAATCATGGGTTTACAGTACAATTTCCCCAGGGTTAATTGCAGGTAACTGTGGTCACAGTACTTCAGTGGTTTGTGGTTTTGGCACAAGGAAAACATAACAGTAATGTCAGTCTACGGCACACTGAGGAGAGAGTAGCCCTTGCCAAGCATGTGCCCACCATACTGTGGGACATGAATCTCACAGCATTTAGCTGCTCATGTCCCTTGAGGGTAATGCATCCTCTGGGCGATCCAGGCATACTTATTAAGTGCATTAATATGTAAACCAGATAAAAAATAAAGCAGCGATGGAGGAGGAGCCAATAAACTCTCAGTGTTACAGTAGAGGCTCAAAGTCAGTCTGGTGAGTTTTATCTGAACACTATGCACTGCTTCTTCCATTTCAGAGGCCTAGAAGTGAGTGCTAGTAGCTGTAAATAATTTTAGCTGAAATTTGCACTACACAATAAAAACCCCAGATTTGTATTTGAGATTTTCTTTTCAATGTAAAAGCTTTCTCAATGATTTTTTGCTTTCTCATGTAAAAGGAAAACTCTTGTTGTAAAGTTTCAGGTATAGCATTGTCCTTGCCACAAGACAATTCGTGTTTCAACTCTGACATCCAAAACCCTTAGGGAAATTTGTCAAAAACAGCAGTGGCTCAATTTTGACTCTGGTAATGGCAAAATTTCCATTACAATTCAAGCAGAGGCATGGCATTGCCTTTTTATGGTTCACTGTTATTCCATATGAAGATTGAGCACTTAACCTTGATTAAATTAAATTTTGATATAAATTTTGCAACTCAAAAAGCCTGTCCATAACAAATACTGCTAAACATGGTCTTTTTCTTCTTGTATTCTGTTACTAAGACATGTGATGTGAAGCCTCATAAGTGAGTATAGAGAAAAGAATATTATCTTTTCCTCAACTCAATTACAATAGACATTGTAAGATTTTAAGATATAAGAGGAATTACAAACTGTGCCTTAAATATAATATAAATATAAGCTTCTGTCTACCTTTGATTTTCTCTTCACTTTCCAGCAGACAAAGTTAACTCTTTGAAGATACATAAGGACGTAAAAGAAATACTCTGGACTTATCTTCTGGAAAAATTTAAACTATTAAATAATTTTATCCTAAATTTTGTAAGGCCTGTAGAGGGCTTTTGTCATTTGATTGCCTGCTTGACTTTGTTAATCAGGAAAACTTACATGCTAGTTACTTTTCTTACTCATAAATTTATCTTTGTTTCCTATACTTAAATTTTTTTCTCTTTCTAGGTGTGATGTCTATAAGCTGAAATTTGAAGGGAAGACATTTTATGTGTTTGGAGCTCAGAAAGAGGTTGTGTTTAATATTTTTACAGAACTTCTGTACTTGATTAAGCTTGTATGAGACATAGTATATGTTTTTAAATAAACAAACTACTAAATCAATAATTGTACTTAATATTGTAACTAAAATATAGAATATGAATGAATGTGAGTATTGAAAATTTTGAAAAAATGTCTAATTTGCAAAGGGTTGAGACATTTCTCACTTAATATTCACGCTGGGCTATGTGGATTGTTCATGGTTTTGGATGCCTTTGGAGTCAAGTTTTAATGTATTTTTAAGTGCTAAAGTTGTACTCACTCACTCTAAAGTATAGAAGATGTCTGTATATGATTGCAAACTCAAGTAAGCATTGATACCTGGATCAATTTGAGGCATTTTTCTGCTAATTACAGTCCCACCCTCAAATTTTGGTGAGCTGAAAAGGTTAGAGTGTGTCTCATAATTAGGTCCTATCACTGGGCTGTTGTCATTGAAATCCTAGAGACTTGCCTACATCAGTTCTTTCCCTAGGTCAGAGTGATATAGCCTAAGGTTATGGTTTTGAATGGAGGTGAGGAAAAAAAATGAAGGAAGGAAATAATGCCGGAGGTATCACAACTGCTCATGTGGTTGCAAGGAGGTTTTGATGGTAGGACATCAAGTGGTAGAGAGGAGGGAGAGGTGGGTGGTAAGTAGTGCAGCAAAGAATATTGAACTCAGAGATTTCCCTCATTCGATTTTGACCAGTAATACAGTTGTTTTAAAGGCCACTTGTACATACGCTCTTTCTTCCCCCCTTGAAGCATCTCCTTTTCTCTGAAAAATTGCCTGGGCTGTTTAAATATCAGCTGTGTATGGATTGTGCATCTGTGGGTGAGCCACAGATTTACACTATACAGGAAAACTTGGTCTTCCGTGTATCTGGTTAAAGGTGATGCCATCAGGTAGAGCTATTTCAGGCACTGAGAATTCAACATTTTCACTTCTTTCATTTGCTTTCTTTTCCTTGCATTTAGAAGAAGGCTGTGCTGGCATTCCACACCTCTACACCAGCAGCCTGCAAGCATCTTTGGAAGTGTGGGGTGGAGAACCAGGCTTTTTACAAGTATGTTCACCTGAAGTCATTATCTATAATGAAAGTAAAAAAAAAAAAAAAAAGTGTGTGAGTGGAGGTTTGTTCATTGTGAAATGTTCCATTTAACTAATAGAAGGCAAAATGTAAACAGAAAATATGCAAGTTAATGGGAAATATTATTTCACTTCAAGCCAGTACTAGAAATTGTTTAAAATATAAATGAGACAGGAGGGTTTTGGCTCCAGCACAATGCTTTTGCTGCTCTGTAGTGAGATATTGGATGGACAGAGTACTGCACTTGTGTCTGGGAACATAGCTGTTAATCTCAGCCCAGCCGTAGAATATCTTGAGAATGAAGGGAAAAAAATCTGTCATTCTTGATTCTCTGGGCTCTTGTGCCAGGAGATAATTTTTCTTCTGCTTGAAATGCAAGGCTTAGTAAGAGTTGATTGAAAAATAAACAGTTCTCTTTAATGATTTAAGGAAGAAAAGAAAATGTTCTTAGATGCATTTTGAAAGATACCTGTGATCTTGTTATACATAAAAAGCTTGTAAAGTGACAAAAAATAAAAGTAGTATCTACCTCCTTACTCCCTGAAAGAGACCCTATTAATAATTCCTCATTGAAAATTCCTCTGCATTTTTTCTGCCCTCCACTGACTTTGTTAGGTCTGTTTATTGATGCTTCCCTCTAGGCATGTAGCTTTTATTCTTGCTACTTAGTGTTTCTTTACAGGCTCTCACATATTTAATAAATATTACTGTTTCTGTGTTGGCACACAGCCACACCAGGGGGCTGCTGTAAGGACAATTAAAAAAGAATTAACCTGAATTCTTAATGACCTGCTTTAATTTGGAGAAGTGATTCCCTTCAGTTTCAACAGTGATACAATAATATATAATCTATCCAACTGATATATTCAATTGGATAGAAAAAAAGAAACAGGAAGTAGGAACTGGCAAAATGCATTTGTTAATTCTCTATGTCAACATTTACTGTGCTTGAGACTATATCAAGCCTAAATATAGTCTATAAATAAAGACTAATTTGAAGCTTATCCGGAAGCCTTTTCTGTTTTAAGTAGAGTTAAGTAGGAAAATACTGCATGGTGTTTGAGTAGTTTCATTTCATGTCACAAGAAATAAATTGGGAATAGGAGATGATTTCCCCATAAAGAAAACAAATTACTTAGAGTAGAAATTAGCTCAATGTAAAAATGTGTTGGGGAGGCTCACAGGAATATCACTTCTCTGTTCTTGTTGCAAAACGGCAGTAATATTAACTATTTGGGTTTTGGTCACAAATACATGGTTTAGGGGGTTTGATCTTGTCTAAATGCCAGATGCCTACCCAGCTGCTCTTTCACTCCCTCTAATCAGCGGGTCAAGAGGAAAAGGTATGATAAAATAGCTTATAGCTTAGGATAAAGATAGAAAGATTGCTTATCAATTACTGTCGCAGCAAAACAGGCCTGAATTGGAGAAATTGAATTTAATTTCCTTTTAACCTTTTCACTCTATTTCAATTTGTCAACAGAGACAGAAATAAAACCACCCTTCCCCTGTTTCATTCCAGGATCACCTTTACTCCTTCATTTCTGACTCCTTTATGTCCTCCTTGTCCTGAGCAGCTCAGGGAGACGGGGAATGGAGGTTGGAGCTCCTCTCTGCTGCTCCTTCCTTCTTATACCCTTCCTGTACTCCAGTCTCCTTCATGACCTCGTCAAGCATGGGCCCTTTCCAAAGGCTTGCAGTCCTTCCGGACAAACCTGCTGTATCTTGTGTTCCTCTCCACGGGCCGCAGGGCCTGCCTGCAGCCAGCTCATGTGTGAGCTCTCCATTCCTTCAGAGCATGCTGGCCTGCTGCAGGCTCTTCCTTGGGCTGTGGCGTGGATATCTGCTCTGTATTTGGCTGCAGTGGGACAGACTCCTTCCCCACAGTTTTCTCCATTCGTGGAATCTGCTCCAATACCTGGAGCACCTCCTCCCTCTCACTATTCTCTGACCTTGGTGTGTTCAATGCTGTTTCTCTCATCTATTTTTCTACTTTCCAAATTATTTTATGGATTGGAATTATTCCTTAACAATGATTGCTTAAAGTTACACCCACCTGTTTCAATTTCGGTGGGTCTTTCAAGAGGACTTCTTTAATAAAATGAGGATTGGAAATGTTATTCAACAGATAGGAATGTGAACAATAGATTGGAAAATTGTAATGTTTAATATGCAGAGTGCAGAAAAATAACAGTAATGCTTCAAACATGAAACTGAAGCCAAAACCATCTATAAGTAAAGCCTTAAAATTGTAGTTTTGAAAGAGGAAATGTTTTCACACATTTCAGAGAAATAGAGTTGTGCAGTGGGGGCTCTGTTATTTAGCAACATTTGATAATTATCTTTTGTTTAAGTTCTATATCATACCAACAAGATATTTGAATAAGATTAAAACAGACATAGTCAGACAGTGAAAATAATTCACATCATTGACACTTTGCCTTAATTAAATTTGGTGCTCTCCTCTTCATAGAAGAGTTTGAGATTTTGAATTTAAGGGAAGGTCATGTTTTCAAAACATGACATGTTTTGAAAAACAGAGCTTTAGTCCTGTCTCGATCCAGGTTCAGGAGTCACTGTTGCAATTATTCAAGTAGATACTAATAATGGACAGTTGTTCACTAGGGTCTGGGAATTAGAGATGACTGTTCAAAATCAATTTGCCATTTTTCAAGAGGACATCAAGGAAATGGCACACGAGGTGCTCTTCCATGGTCTTTGTAATAAAGATAAAAGGTTGTTGTGTACCTGTTGAATACAGAGAAGCAGTAGGGTATGATGTAGGCTACTAAGAATAGAGAATAAGAATTGACTGAGTAGAGATATTGGAGAAGAACCTACTTCAGCAGACAAGTTGTTGTCTTTATTATTTCTTTGTTTTCCTAGTGGAAAAGCAGAAATAGCCATATTTTCCCAAAACAAGCTGGTGTTAAGACACATGTCTCAGAGTCTTTGATATACCATGGTCTTTCCTTCATCCTGGGAATGAAAATTCATAGAGATGCAGCAAGTGTCTGCATTTAATTTTCTTGTTCTCTTGACAATCACTTGTTGCATGCTCAGTCATTCTATGCTGTCTGAATGATTTTATGTGTGCTTCATTTTTTGTATAAAGGCCTTAAAAAATTGAAAAGCTCATTTTTTGAAAATTACTTTATGGTATAAAAATAACAAAACTTGTATTTTGCCTTGTTCATTTTTGCTTATCATGTCTTCGAAAAGGTGACAGCCTCTGTTATTTTTTTTCAAGGTATGCAAAATCCAGTCAGATCAAGACAATGTCCAGCAGCAAGATATTTTTTAAAGGCAGTAGATTTCGATATAGGTGGGTGTTTGCTGTTTCTTATTCATAGTAAATCATTTCAGGAAATAAGAAAATGTAAGTAATTAGTCATGGAAAATTCAGGGTTGTTACTGCTGGAGGGTCTGTTCATGCCTAGCTGATGTGAAGATTTGAAAATCTTCCTGTTGCCTTTTCTAGTGTCACTCAGAAATTAAGCAGGAGTTTTCACACAGACACTTCTGTCAAGAGTAGTTCCGCCAGCAGATAGCTCCACTTTTGGTGCATCTTCTGTAAAAATTAGGATGTGTGACCAATGCAGAGATTTTATGTCCCCTGCTGCTGTGCAGCTCTGAACCAGGTGTGAGATAGATAGGCCAGTTCAACCCATGGTGTTCTACTACAAAAAGTTGCTTTTTTTGTGGTAGCTTTGTGGGCAAGTTGTCAGCACAATTTTATTCTAGAACATTATTTATGCACTTTATTGCAATTTTTCCCCCTTTATTTTAATTTTTTAAAATGTAACCTAATTTTCTACATTTATGTAGTTCTTGGCATGTATCTTAGTATTTACTTGAATATTCATTTCATCTTTTAATGCAGCGGAAAAGTAGCCAAAGAAGTTGTGGAGGCAAGCTCTAAAATCCAGAGGGAACCTCCTGAAGTTCACAGGTATGTCTTGACATTCAGTATTGAAGTTTAGGACTAGGGAGGATTATTGCTTTCTACAGAAGTATTCTCCCTCACTCTGAGCTTCCACAACTATGCGTGCAAGCCTTAGGAAATATGTGTCTCACACACAATGTCTCAAAATTCAGACAAATGTCTCCTATAAAGGAGAACCTAATCTGTGCTGCTTTGAAGCTGTGTTTAAATAATCAGTCAGATTGATAACCTATGTTATTTTTTGTGTGCTAACATAAGCTGTTATTACATGTTCCTGACAGAAAAGTACACTCTAGTTTCATTCCTAGATTTTGTTTGATTTTGTAAGTTCTTGGTTTCTATATGTTTTTAGGTATGTTTCACAGTATACTTCATACCTTTTCCATAATGCAGTCAGATTATAAAGCATGAAGTTCACTCAGTAAAGAGGAAAAAATATTCAAGAATCGTTTTTTCAGAGGAAAATTTAGCTTGTGAGAAATAAGCTCCTAAACCTTGCAAGCCAACTAATGCTGTCGGGTCCTTATCACTCATTGTAGTGACAGTAAAAACTCCTAAGAACCTGGAGAAGGCTCTTCAGAAAAGAAGGAGGCCATCAGGGAAAACTCTTTGCAACTGTTTTTAAAAACAGGTTACTTAACAGTCTGAATATTCTACAGCCATATTCCCTTTTTTTGCTGAGATTTCATGTTTGAGGGGAATACACATTCTTTAATTGAATCTTGCTATTCTGTCTATATTTTGGATAAAAGTAGATTATCTTTACTAAAAGATGGGAATATATTTGCAATAAATATTTATATTATGCTGTCCAGTCACACTGTGTAATTAATAGTTAGGCCATGCAGGCATGCTTTCAAACATGTTTGTCCTGATAATGTTTTAAAATGAGGTAATTGAAGGTCTAGAATGTGCTAAATGATAACACAGAAGGTAGAATATAGGTGCATCACTGAGGCAGTATAAAGTACTTGGGCACACAAATGCATATTAAATGAGAATAGTTGCTCACTTTAGGAAATAGCTTATTTCCTACTATCCAAGAGGTTTCTTTGTTCCAGGATAAGAAAATATTTTCACACATTTATTTTTTATCTTGTATTTTGCTTTTCTTTGATTTCTATATTTAAAAGTATTTTAAACACATAATTTAAAAGTTAGTGTACATAAAGAAGCAGATCAGAGAACAAATAAATTTATAAAGCAACATCATATGGATTTAACATCCATAACTAGCAATGTATCTCTTTAATCATTAACCTTCTGAAAAAGCTTGCAATTATAATATTATGGAAGCTCCAAGTTCAGTTTCTTAGAAAGACTAAGGAATATAATGATTTCAGGTGCTTTTATAGCTCAGGTTGTGAAATGGGAGACAGAGATGGCTGATCCTTCTAAAAGCACAAGCAGGCAAAAAATATAGAAATTTTTCACCTCAAAAAAGAGATATGTTTTGAAAAAAGTTTCTTTGTGAAAGGGGATTTGGGGATACGAAATGATGGCTTTTCATCCTTCATCAGAAGCAAAACATTCAGAAAAAAATATTTGAACCTAAACATATATCTATATATCAATGCATCTATATATCTATATATCTGTATATCTCTATATCTCTATATCTCCATATCTATATAAAGTTTTTTCTCCCTGTGCTCTTACCCTCAAAGTCAATTCAGTTGTACCATGGTTGCATTAAGAAAGAATCAGACTGTTGAGAGGAGGGTATTGCTCAAAATCTCTGTGTTTGGATATTATACTCAAAGCTCTGTGTACTGAAAATCTGTGTCATCATGCAGGATTAATGCAGTGGCAAGCTCTTCTGCCAAGCACAAAATGAATGATTTCATGTTTTTTTTCCAGGGCATGCCTGAAGGAGGGATCTTTGTAAATAAATATGGATCAGAAGTCTGTGGGTGGTCCCAGGCACAACTTATATTTTGGGAGTTGTTAGAGAGCTTTTTACAACAAGAACAAAGGTTCTGCATAAAAAGCCTATGGATTTACCATTGGGTTGGAGTGACTATAATTATAATATCCTGAGTGAAAACTCTCTGTGGATAGTGAAAATTTAAACGAAATAGTTATCAGAGAATACAAATAAGGATATAAATATCATTGGGCATGTGTTATGGCACATGAAATCATGTCAATTGAGCAAGAAAGCTTGTTTATTCCCACAGAATATTTACTGACAGGTAGTGTGGGTTAAGAGTTGTACACCTATGTCCCAAGTTTACCTAAACCTTCAGCAACGCACAGTTCCATCTTCTGACTTGCAATAGGTTCTTTGTTCAGTTTGTTTATGTGGAGTTTTAAGTTGAGCCTTTTGTGCAGACTTGAAATACATTTTGTGACACTTCAGCACTGTATCAATATACCATGAGAAGTTAAGTAGGATACTCTTCCATTTCCTCTTTGCTTTTGTCAAAGTAAATATTTTACAATATAATGGTTAAGATTTACTGCAGGACTCTTGCTTCAGGCCTGTATCATGTAAATTCTAGATAACATATTCAAAAGAGCCATTTTATATTCTCAGAAATATATTTTTAGGCTAATAAGCATAATGACTGAAGAAAATCAGCAGCATTCCTAAAACTTTCCAGAGCATATTTAACACCTGCTACCAGGAAAGCCTCTTAGAGTGAAGCAAGACAAGAAAGAAAGCCAGTGTGAGTGCTGGGAGGCATGGTGTAGAGGCAGCCTCTGGGGTGCGTGGGCACGAGAGAGAGCACTCTGTATCTGTAAACCACAGGCATACAGTTGTTCCTGCTTTAGTCTTTGATCCTCAGTGCTCAAACTGTAACAAATCCTTTATCCACTTCTGGAGGCAATGGAACAACTTTTCCCTTCCTTGAATCCAAATATTAGTGTTTGCTGTGCACTGTGGAGAGGAGCAACCCACTGAAATCCTGCCTGAGACGAAAGGAAGTCGGGCAGTGTAAAGGAGCTAGATCTGGACAAAACCTCTCTCACACTTCAGATGTTGCAATGTTTACATCTGTGGAGGGTGCAACACAACACAGCTGAAAACAGCATTCAATGTGTAGAGCTTTTTACAACAGCTCAAGGCCTAGTAATTTATGCAAAACGATTCTGAGATGAGACCTATTGGACTGCAGCTATTTCCAGTAAGCAAACTGACCCTGTTTTCCCCATTCTTTTAGAACGAGCATCACCCAGAGTCGCAGCTCTCCATCCTTGAACAAGCAACTCATAATCAACATGGAACCTCTGCAGCCTCTCCTTCCTTCTCCCTGTGAGGAGGAAGAGGTTCCTTCAGATGAAGGTGAGTCATTTACACAATTCCCACTGATATTTATTACAAAGCATATGGGAAAAGATGTGATACTGACTCAGGGATATGGAAAAAATATAATAATTTTCATTAGGTATTCCTAATCATTAAACCTCCATATGTCATACCCAGTAATGATCACTATCTCAAGAAGCAGTGCATTAGGACTAGGGAATAGGATGAAGGAATATAATGACATGAGAGATATATGGTGAGGAAAGTTACTACTATCTGGTTTCTGTTTCAAAAAATCTTTTAAACTGTCAGGCAAAAGGATCTTAGAAAATAAGTAGTCTCAAGACGGCACCTTTTTCTGAATAGTGTCAGCAGTCATTCAGGAGTGAAAACTGGCTGTTTACTGCTGGATATTTTGTTTTTCTTGATTCTCTTTACTTTCATATTTCCTTCTTTCTGCTTTAGTCTGCCAATTTAATTTCCTTGGCCAAAAAAAAAAAAAACAAAACTATTATTTGCAGATCAGCTGGGAAAGATCTTTAATTTATCTTCTTTGACAAAATGGGACATGATTGGAAGATAAGTCTGAATTTATTCAGTATAACAATGTTTTGCATGCATTTCTTTATTTCTTGATATTTTTAATATCACATTGAACAACTTTCTTTTTGAGATAAAGTCACTACAAACAATGACATGAACACCACTGCCAGCTTAAATAGGGATAATTGCCTATGTCCTAATAAAAAGGAAGCCAACCAAACAAAATCTGACACTAGCTCTTGCTTGAGATGTAGTGAGGTAATTGTTTCAGAGGTTGGGAAATACAATATTTGCTGTTGCTTTGTTCTAGTCAATGAAAACCAGAAAAAAGCTGAGTGAATATCCTTTTCATGGGAGCATGTCCTAACTTTATTTTATAGGAGTTGTATGAACATGTTTTGTTCATTCTTCAGAGTTTGGACACTGAATGTAGCAAGTACAGGGTGAATTACCTTGTCTGTGTTCGTACTTTATTAAAATTACTAGTAGCAGCTGTTATTTTTAACTGAGAATTTGCCTTCTAGCAGCCAAGTACCACGACTGTGCTTCCTCTGGGCAGTTGTCACTGCTGCAGAGCAACAACAGCTTGCTCTGTATCCTGTAACCGCACTTACAACTCGAGGCAATGAAATCCATTTTTGGAAACTGGTGACTTCTTGCTAAGTGCTCACCCGACAGTGCTTGTTTTAAATGTTTGTGTTATGTAAGTTTGAAAATTACATTTCCTTTCAGTCAGACAGATTGTTGTTACTATGATGAGCTAATAGACGTATTTGCTGGTGGTATTTAACTGCATACTTTATATGTTGTTAAATATCACCAGATGCTAAGTTAACAGTATTTAGACTTTTACAGGCTTTTCCTGCATAAAACTTGGCAATATTATCAAATTGCAGCTTGAACTGATCGCACAGCTCTTCGACAGTGATGCTGGCTCTCTTCCCAACATCCACTTCTGTGGATTCCCACCTTCGCCCCTGCATCAGCACTAATCACAACAGTGTGAACTAAGAGAAGGAGTTAAAAAATAAACCAACAATCAAAAAAAAACCAACCAAAACCAAGAAAACAAAAAAAAAACCCCATAAAAGAATCCCAAAAATAAACAAAAAAATGAACCAAAAAACCCAAAACCCAAGCAAATAAAAAGTAAATAAAATAAATTCAAAACAACAAAATCAAATTAAACCCAGTAACAACAGCAAACCAAATTAAAACAAAAAACCCAAAACCAAACAAAAACCCCTTAACTGTGCAGTCTCCTATTATTGCCTGACTCAACTATTGACTGGATCATCGAGAGAGTCAACCAAGGTCCTGTGTTGGAGTAAGGGCATGAGCAGGAGGTGGGGAGAGGGGAGGCATACAGCCTTGAGATTGACACAACTACCTTGGGAGACTGCTTTTAGTGTGCTACATGAAATACCCTTGGTATCTCTGTATATGTCTCAGCCCAGTGAAGCATACTTTCATTTTGCTGTTCAAAAGGCAAAAGTCAGTGTTATCAGATCAATAATTCGGGCATGAAATCTCAGCACAGAAGTATCAGGTGACCAAAATGAAGCTTTCATTACTTTGTCGAAACTACGTTAATATCCTGTGACTGGAGAGGTATTGCCTTTTTTAAAAAAATAGTCTACTCAAATAGGTGAAGCTGTGATAGCATCTGGTGCTAGAAAATCTGGAGACAATGGACTTGCATCTGCAAAGGCAGTAGTCTGTCCAAAATCAGACAGTAAAAGAAGGCAGCCACAGAATCTGTATAGCAGGACTGCAAGAAACTTAATGTGTTCAACTACACATGGAGCAAGAACTGAGCTATGCTCAGTGCTGGTGAGGCTGCACCTCAAATTCTCAGTTCAGTTCTGGGTCTGTCATTGCAAGAATGCCATTGAGAGGCTGGAGAATGTCCAGAGAAGGGCACTGGTGTGAGTGAAGGATCTGGAGCACAAGTCCTGTGAGGAGCACTTGGAGGACCTGGGGTTGTTTAGTCTTGAGGAGGCTTGGGGTGACCTTACCAGTCTCTACAACTCCCTGAAAGGAGTGTGCAGCCAGGTGGGGATTAGTCTTGTCTCCCAGGTAATAAATAATAGACAAGAGAAAGTGGCCTCACATTACGCCTGAGAAGGTATAGTTTGGATATAAGAAAAATTTCCTTAAGGAAAAGGATGGTCAGATATTGGAACAGACTGTCCAGGGACATGGTTGAACCAACAACCTCCATGGAAGCTTTCAAAAGGTGTGTGGGTGTGGTGCCTGGGGACATGGCTTAGTGGTGAACACAGCAGTGCTGGTTAACAGACTTGATGGTCTTTCCAACCTAAATGTTGCTATGAGCAGGAGTGAGCACACATCTGCTACCATCAGTCTAATTGTCTGTCTCTGTGTGGGTGCTTCGCTGTGTAAAATTTGGTTGTAGAGGAGAGTTGTGTGGAGCTTTTGTAGCTACAACTATTTAAAATTTTTTTAGATAGTCTCTTGCTGAGAGTTAATATAGAGAGTTGATATAGGCTCAGAGTTTCTGAGTCAGTTGTAAGATTTTAAGATTTCTCCCTTACTTATGTGTAGATAAAATTATGGGGAACAATTTGAAACTAACACAGTCATTTCTCTTTTGCATAAGCATGGTCACATGAAACATAAACGATAGATTTTACTTCTCAACATCAGTATGTAGGAATACACTGGCCTTTTTTCCCCTTGCACCAAGATTTGACGCCTTGGATATTTTTATAATTCTGTGTGGTTCAGTTGTTATGCTAGCAACTGCTAGCTAAGATGGATGTTGTGGAAGTTTGCAGTGTTATGAGGCATTTGGAAATGTGTCAAATGTTGGAAATCTTTCACAACCTTGTCTGGCTGACACTTGAGTCCTTGTATAGGCCTTCCTTTATGTATTGAAGACATCGGTGGTTAGATTTTTGTAAAAATTCATGCTTTCCAGTTTTTGTAGCTGTGTATACAATGAAGAGTCAACCTCCTTTAGTTAGGATTTAATGATCCTGTTTTGGCTCTTATGACAGTTATGAGAATAAAAATGAGAAAAGAAGACAGAATCGTATTTTTGAAGGGATGAAAAAATGGAGATAGGAAGCAAATGGGTACTTGATCTTTCCTCACACCCACAAAAAAGTGTTTGCTGAGAAGGAAAGGAAGAGAGAAAATCTTTGCTCTGGCAGAGGAAGAAAACAGGACCTCTGCTGGACATTTGTACTATACAGGCTGTGTAAGAAAAAGGAGCCATCATAAAAATTCTTTCCAAAAAGCTTCATTGAAGCAGATGTCTTTTATGAGGGAAACAGCTGGGTGTAAAATAGACATTTGCAGGACTCCCTCCCCTGCTGCCCTCTCTCCCACATATTTGCATACACATCACTGATTTTTTGGTACAAAGAGAACAAGGACGTCAGATAATGAGGATTCAGGTAGTACAATGTCATAAACATTACAGATGAGTTTTCTGGGAAGTGAGAGACTACATCCCCACCAGTACACTCCTTCCAGTTCGTCTCTTCTCTGTGGCTTTGGTGTACCAGGAAAGAGTTTCTTTCCCACTAGGATAGTGTGATGTTACGTGTATGATTGTCTTCCAGCTCCCAGCTGGAGCAAGTTATCAGCAGCCAGCATAGGTGCATCATGCATTTTTGGGAATGTGTATATCTCTGCTGGGCAGGAACAGGGAAGTGCCCAGCCTTCTGAAACAACAATTCTTTCTGTACAAGGAGGATCTGTTCAACAACTGTCCTCAAGCTGGAAATGGAGCTCATATGTAAAGAGAGAATTTTTTTTTCCAGTCTTAGAAATTTTCTGTTCTTCTTTTATATGGGCAGGTCAGGTTTTTATTCTAGGTTAGAAATTAATGTATTTTGGTCTCACTGGTTTGCTTTGTGGGTAAGATTTGTAAGCACAGCATGGGATTTTTCCATTGTATTTACATGTTTCACAAATAATTTCCAGGCAGTGATGGGGAACTGACATTACTGGCATATTAAAGCATTTTAGAAAAATAATGGGATTATGGATGCTGGCCTCTTTTTTAACTGCACTATGTTTTGGTGCTTTAGATATTTTTATGCCTCTGTGTGTGGTTCAGCTGTTATGCTAGCAACTGCTAACTGAGACGGGTGCTGTGAAAGTTTGTATTGTACATTATGAGGCATTTGGAAATGTTTAAAAATAACCTCTGGTTCTGTTCCCTGCTGGGATATTTTTGTTGGCCATGTTAGAAGCTTGTCATTTGATTCATTGAGAGCAACCTGTGTGTTAGTATCTTAAAACTCGGTGGGAACTTAATAAAAGGTCAAAGCTGGTATGGCTAGAGCTTTTACAAGACTTTGAGAAGAGGATATAATAGTCAACATGGTGAAATGTCTTGTAAAAATCCAAACCAAGAGAAGCATTCATTTGCGGATGGTTAACCACTGCAACAAGGAAGTGTGCATTCGTTTACTGCGGCATGGCTCCAAGATCACAGCCAGAAGGGCTGGTAAATT